TTCTTTTTTTCAGATTTTGTGGCAAATTAAGGTACTGCAGTGAAAAATGTGCATAACTGTATTAGTCATGGGCAAGGAAGTGATAATTGCATCAAACAACAAAAGATTAGGTTTCCAGTTTCTTTGCGGGTCGCTAAAACATATCAAAGCCTTGTTACGTGCATTTAAATTTAAGTAAAAATAAATCTAACCAAAATTCTGACAAATATCTCACACTTTTCTAGAATGGCATTAGGAAGTGTAACAACTGCTTAAAGTATTTTTGAGCAGACTGTTGATTATTGTGGGAAATCTTGTGAACGTTTTTCATTACACCACAAATCTCTGGGTATCCAAAAACTGGGAATCAAGGAGCTAAAAAAGTATACTTGTTTAAAGATAGATTTAAAATATGAAATGCTTCTATACCAGATTTTTTGAAGAAAACATATTTCTTCAAGAACCTGCTCAAGGGTGGTTGGGCAGTTAATACTATCTTTTAGTAATATTTGATTAAGTCTGCCTATATTATTGTACTGCCCAATATCCTTTAAAGAGATAAACACTATATTTAGCTCCTTAAGTCAAAAATTAATTTTTTTTTGTTTTGATTAGTTTTTCATAGCTGCATGCATTTTTAATAAAGCTGAAAATTAATGGTGGTAATCATTATTTAAATTCGTGTAACTGTAACGTTAACTCCCTGAATAAACTTTAAGGCAGTAAAAAGATTGTTGCAAATCTGAATGTAAGAAATTTAAAAAAATCAAATTTAGTAATTTAAATTCTAGTTTAATCTTTGATTACATAACAACAAGTCAATTACATTTAAAAAGTTGATTAATGGCGCAAAGTGAAAAATGAATCAACTAATTTTATGATTTTGCGTTTTGTGAGGACTTCAGTATCTTTGCTTTAGCATACAAATTATTTTGAAATACAACCCATTTGGTGTCATGATTTCCTATTATATATTTATTCTTATTTATATTTCAGATTTCCTTTTAGCAATGTTGCTTCTAAAATCAACAATTTCAAAGTGCAGTAGGAGTACTACAAACGCACAGAGGTTTTATTTATATGTTTTCAATAACATCGCTTTCTAAATTATTTTCAACATTCATAACAATATCACAGAAAATTCAAAGTCTAAAATTTTTCCAAGCAATCCACAAACTTTTTATTACAAATTTTTTGAATGCCCATGTAAAATCTCTAAAATCGCTGTTTTTACAATAATTTTCAACATGTTGTCAACTTAATTAACTATGGATTTTTATTAGCATAACTAAAGTCTATAATTTATTTGGGAAAAGTAACTTCGACTAAAAAATTTAAGTTTTCTCTGCTGCAGGACCTCTTTATAATCTAATTTTTCTACCTCGAAAGTTAATTTACAATTATTTGGATTGTAATGTCTACAATATTTGCCTTGTGTTTACAAAACTTTTCAGATATTCTACGACACGGAGGTCTTAAGGTAATGAATCCTCAAACATTATCTTTTCGAAGCTTAAAGTTTAGAATACCTCTATTTAATCTTTATTCTCAATTAAGTTACCAAACGCCTAAGTGATACTGTTCATACACGCAACAAAACCACCTTTTTTTTAGTTTAAACGAACATAAACTAATTTGAACAGCTGCGCAGATCTACAAGATACAATTCTCAGAGCCTGATTAAGACACTTTTAGGTCTGATGCTGTAAATATAGAAGGACCTGATTTGGTGATCACCAAAAAATTTTAAACGGGAACAAGGCTATGCCAGGGGATTAGAGCCATCTACATTTTTGTTGACTTTAAAACTGTTGCCTGTTTTAGTCTTCTTGGAAAGGTTAGTTTTTTTTAACCATTCCACATTCAGAGTTCTACTTTCAAAAACCGTGAAATTCAATATTTTTTATATAGCCATTGATATTTTATTTACAATTTATCTCTGTTTTTTTACTTTTTTTGAATAACTTATCTGGATACCTGGAGCTACTTTTACAACCAGCAACAAAGCATCGGTAGTTTGGTATTTTGGTAGTGATTTATTTGCTTTACACCAACTGGCGCAAAGCGATAAATCATCTCTAAACTGGGAGAAAAATTTAAATCTTTTTAAAAACATAATAATACAATAAGTACATAATACATAATAATAATACATAATAATTCAACAAAGCTGCTAAGTTCATCAATAAAAAAGAAATCAAATATGAAAAGTATACAAAGTTTTAAGAAGTTTTTCTTATTAAATTTTTTTTTTTCTTTTTTCTATTAAGTATATATTTGCTGTTTATATAATAAGAAATATAATTACAAAGAAACGTTTACATACAAAAAAAAAGTGAATTTATAATAAACAGGCAGGGGCTCAAAGAAGATACGGATGACTAAAGTCACCACAATCTTTTCATAGAGCCCCTAGGTGGGCTTTACAAGTTAAAAAAAATAGTATCTCCAATATAATAAAAAGGTTAAAGCTTGCATAAATATTTCCATTAAATCAAGAAAGTAAATAACATCATATAGTTTTATAAATATTCATTAAAATATATTGGCAACTCAGTTAAATATCAAAATAAGAGCCAATTAACAAGTAAAAAAACTAAGAACAATGGAACTCGTTTTTCATTTCGAAAAATCAAGAAAACTATTTATCTAATTTAAAAATTTCATTTTTTATTATAAACTTAAAGGAATTTAATGATTTTACAGTATTTAAATTTTTTGTTTTTTGAAAAGTGTTCCATAGTTTTGGTCCACCGTATGATATTCCATATTCAGAATACTTACTATTAATACTTGCTAATTTATAAGTATTCCATTGGTTTATTCTAAGAGAACATTTTTTGTTTACATTTATTGTAAATTTATCATTAAAGTTTTTTGGCTGTTGTTACATTTATACATAAAAATTAGTTTAATTAGTTATAATCTATTACAGAAAAATTATATTGGTCCTATTGGTCCTATTGAAGTAAAAAAATCTTTTGAAATAAGGGTATATGATATATCAAGATATTTTTTTGATATTAAAACATGAAAATTATTTAATTTGCAAATTTTACTGAGATATGATAAATGCAAATCATATTTCAGTCTAATCGTGTACCTGCATTAACTTAATAGATGTGACAGTTCTGATTTTAAACATCATTAAAGAAAATTGAGAAATGCTACTGCTTATTTTGATTGGTCAACAATTGCTTGCCAAAACTCGAAAACAAATCCGATATTATAAATAAGTTCAAGACTACTCAAAGCTTCGAAAGAAAACTTGGAAGTGGAAGAAAGAAAACTTTCCATAAATACAAAAAGCTAAAGTGGTTTTACGTTCAATAGCAAGAAATTTAAACCAGTCGTAGCAAGATCTAGCAAGAAAATTAAAGATTTCACGTTCTTATATAAAAAAATTACTTAAAAATGCTGGAATTAAAGCATTTCACAAGAAAAATACACATAAGAAAAGCTTAAATGGTGAAATTAAAGAAACTCGACGCGCAAAGAAGTTGGTTTAAATGATGGCGGATAAAAGTATGTGCATAATTGAAGACGACGAAACATATTGCAAGGTGGATTTTTCACAACTTCCTGGTCAAAACTTTAACTATAAGAACAAAGATAAACCTGTCAATGATCAACTTAAATGTATTTGACAAGAAAAATTTGCATTAAAGTTCCTTGTGTGGTAAGCAATTTGTAGCTGTGGTATGCAGTCCTCTTGTTTTGTTACTAAGAAGACCTTAAATGCCGATCTCTACATCAAAGAATGCTTCAAAAAAAGACTTTTGCCATTAATGAAAAAATACAAATACCGATGCCTCTTTTCAACAAATTTTGTTGCTTCTCAATATTCTTAAAATATTCTACAGTGTTTCAGCAAAGATTGTAATGTGAAAATTGTTCCTAAAGATGCAAATCTTCCAATTCGCCCTAAAGAGCGCAAGATTGAAGATTTTTTGGCAATAGTTAAACGAGTTCTTCGTAAGACAGGTAGAGTAACAAAAAATAAAAAGGATTTCTGAAAAAAGTGGATTAATGCCATCAATAAGGTAAAATATGAAAAAATTTGCGAAATGATGGCATCAAACCGCTATAAAATTCGATTTCTTGCCAAACAGCCCATTAAGTCCCTTAAAATTTTATTGAAACTTTAATTGATGAAAATCAAACAAATGTAACAATTTAATTTACCAGGAACAAACACAAATGATGTACAACTTAAAACTAAATTATGGAAAAATTATCCGGTGGCATGTAGGAATCATTACGGACATATTTTTCAGAAACAATGTCAACATGTGTGGAACTACTTAGTTGCAAGTTTTCGAAGAACAGCAGGTGTTGTAAAGAAACTAGCAATAGCATTACCAAATGCAACAATACTAGAAAATTTAGAAATATACTACCGTTCTCACCAATAATGTGATTTGACAAAATGATTAAAATATTATTTTTTCCATTACTTTTAATATTTCTGTTTCAGCAAGAAAATTAAATTTGATTCAAGTTTAATTTTCTTGCTAAAACAGAAATATTAAAAGTAATGGAAAAAATATTCAAATTTTTCAAAATTTATTCAAATTTAGAAAATTTATTCAAATTTAGAATAATTTTAAACTGCTAAATACGAAGTAAAGCATTACTTTGCTGTAGTTCATTTAAAACTTATGCACAAAAAAAAAAAAAAAATTTCATCTTCTTAATTTCTGACATACATTTAATAGTTAAAAGGAAAAATCAAAAATAGAAAAAATACTTTCTTTTTTTGTCTGATTTACTTACTAAAATTGAAAACTATTATATACAAATATTATAATACACGTTGTGTTATATATATTTTTTTGTTATATTCTGTTGTGTTGTATTTTTTTGTGTTATACTTTGTTTAACTTTGACAAAAATGCATGAAGAGCCTCAAAAAAATAGAAAGATTTTAAATATATGTTCGTTATCATTATTTTTATGAACTCCGCTTGCAAATGTTCATGTAAAATTTTTACATAACTATACAAGACTTTTTTGTTTAGATCACATCAAAGTTTTTGTTCGTTTAAAATCTTCATCTTGGAACGAAAATCAAATATACAACGTTACAGATCGCAAGGTGAAAATAATTAATTTTTTGTAGATCATAAAAGCGAAAACTAAATAATGCTAAAGTATGTTGGAAGAGCTTTTTACTCTCTTGAATTTTGTAATTTGTAAGTTTTATCACATAGAGACATAAACCATGGAAACTACAAATAATACTTACATTAGTTGTCGATTTTTAATTCTCGATAGCCTCTTTTTTTTTTTTTGACAAAGAATAATGCCATATTCAAATACTTCAATATTAAAAACTTCATTTTTCAAAAGAAATACATTTTTAAATCTAACTTTAAAGCTAGTACACACGTTCTAATAAAAATATCCACGCAGATAAATTTTGCTCAATTTATTTTTCTGCATTGTTTCATAGTTTTTTCGGAATTATATCAAAGTGTTAATCTTAGAAAACTAATCACTTGTCCCGATAAACTCTCACTTCGATAATGGAAATAAGTAATTTTTTGTGCCTCGACATCCAACTCTAACTTAATATAACTTTGTCAAGCTTAACAAGTATTTTTAACCCATACATTATAGCAAATACCTAACCTAATTTAGTTTTTGATTAACTTTTCCATTTGATTGCTTTGTTGATGGATTTAACATCTAGACATAATTGCACAGTTTAATTTGCATTTAGTACAATTAAAACGTTATCTTTTTAATGAGTATAAGAATAAAAATTATATAAAGAAATATATGTAAAAATAATAAAATAAAAAGTATAAAAAAAAAGACTTGGTTATTTTAATAAAAACGACTTATTAATTTTCAATTAACATTGATAAATATAACTATGGCAGTACAAATTGTATTAAAAACACTGAATTGAATCATCAAAAATTTTGTCAAATTTTATTTTATTTTTTTATTCTGATTCACTCCCAACAAGGCTGCAAGCAACCACTATTAAGTTGGGAATTACTACAGAAAAATAATAGAGTTATAAAGCAAGGAAACGGTTGACAGAAAACTTAAAAAGTTGATGGTTGTATGAGTCAGGAAAACATAAAGGTGGGAGAGAGTTCCGAAGGGTTGAAGTGCGGAGAAAAAAGCTAGACGATTAAAAGTTATTAAAGCATGCAGGAACAGGTACAGCGTAAGAATCAGACTTTGATGAATGACGAGTCAAGCGAGAATGAGTTTTAGTTGACGGAACTAAAGATAAAATTTCCTTTGAGCAGCGGCCATGATATTATTTGTAGAAAAGAGAAAGAGATACAAATTTACCACGATGGGAAAGAGGCTCAAACTTAGCAGGTAGACAGGGTCCAACTACATTTACAACGCGTTTTTGGACATTGTATAGAAGAGAAAGAGCATCATTAGAAAAAATAGTCCAAATATGACAACAGTATTCCATACAGGGAAGAATAAAAGATTTGTAAAGATAGAGAATAAAATCAGAAGAGAGAAAAGGCAAGCACGATAAAGTGAAGCACCTTTAGCAGATGCTAATTTAGCAATTGATTGTATATATGGTTTCCATGAAAGGTCAGTAGTAAGCGATAATCCAAGAAGACGTAAAGAGGACGACTCAGTGAGAGGGTTGCCATTCATCAATAAAGGAGTGTTGACAATACTTGGCCTTCGAGAATGACTTTAATAAGGCGGTTAGAAAGAAACAAATTGATAATCTCAAAAACTTTCCCAGATACACCATATGAAAAATATGGTGTATTGGGGTTTATATATACATTTTAGCATTTGACAGCATCTTTTTACATCAATTTCTTGAAATAATAAATAGCTGTTTGTTCTCAAGAGAATTGTTTTTTTAAAAAAGATGAAAAAAATGATTACAATTAGATGACACAGCTGCACAAGAGGATGAAAATTACGGAGTAAAATGTGGGTTGTCATGAAACCAATAAGAAGCAATAAAAGCCTCCATTCCTGCCTGAATCCAGAAGGTTACGTAGGAGGCGCATTTTTTAGCTGAGAGGGAAAAAACATCAGGCTAAGGACCATCACAAAGAAAGTTGCGAAAAGAATCCCAATTAGTTTTAGGGTATTAGTAAGTAAGTTGATGATTGTTGTAGACCAAATACGAAGTACGAGATGAAATAGAAATTATTGCATGATCAGAAACACCTAAGGGAGAAAATGGAGAAACTGAACATAAGCTAGGATTAGAGACCAGACATAAATCAAGGAGTGAATGTAAATGATTAGGGTTGTCAGGAAAACAAGTCACAATGTTAACTATCTGAGTAGGAGATTGAGAAATGCAGAAGTTTTAGGCTCTAGTGCCAGTAGGGTCAGTAAAGTTAGAGCCAAGCCATTCAGTGTGTTGAGCATTAGAGTCACCAATAACAACAATATTGACACAGGGGTAAAGAAAGAGAGAGCATGGTCAATTTGATTAAAAATTATATCTAAAAGAGTGAAGTCTTGGGAAGAAGGAGAACAATAAAAAACAAAGAGAAAGGTAATAGAGTGAAGAGATGCTAAGCGGAAACACATAAAAGAATGATCAAAAGATTCGAATCTGATTTCACAACAAATAGGTGATTTGATGCGTATGTATACCCCTAAGCTAAGCATTCAACAGTTGGAGTCTTTGCTAATCAAAGGATAGAAACCATCAATATTGAGATTAGAACAAGGAATAGCGTAATTTAAATTAGTCTTACTAAGAGTAAGCATGTCTGGTGAATTTTGCGAGAGGTAAGATTCAACGGATGGAAGGTTGCTTCCTAGGCCAAAAATATATTAAAACAGTTGAACAGGTGATGGGGATAGTTTTTTTGTTTAATATTTTAATTTACTTTGGCATACTTAAGTTTAAAGAGAACTTGACTCATTCACAGATTGAGCACGGCCTCCCATGCAATAAGCTATGCAATTTTCTCAGTGCTGTTAATTAACCCTAAATCGTAACATACAGCTCCTTATGTGACCTCAACAATGCGCACCAAAAGCATTAACAGGGACACCATCCATACGCAACATGGCACTGTTAATGCACTCATATTTTGCAGCTTTAGATGGAATAAGTCTCTCAGAGAGCTACCACAGAGTTTGGGAAACTTTACTACCAGCCGGCATCAGAACTATTTAACTGAGTTTTAGAGCTGTACCCTCATTAGGTGAAAACTAGAAAAGTTGCATAGCCACTATCAAGGAGGCACAACCAAAAATCTATGATTTAAAAGACAAATTATCTAAATACAAATTTTATATTAGCAAATCCAGGTAAATGTGAGCATATTATAAGTACAAACTTGCATAATTATAAATGATAGCTTCCACTCAAGCGGTTTTGCAAAGTCAAGTTTTTGCCTTTTTTACCAATATAAGATCTTAATCACGCCAGTTTTCACAACTTTGTTAGGTGCATTTAAAAGTATCAGAAAGAGTTGACTGGACTGCATGTGTATTATTTACTTTGAGTGACCAAACCTAATAAACTTCAACTGTACTTTAGGGGCCATCCATAAAGGACGTCACCATTTTTTAGCTAATTTTTGACCCCCTCCCCCCCCTCTTTTGTCACCGGTTGTCCTTTTTCCCTATACCCCCCTTGAAAAGGACGTCATAAAATCCTAGACCCCCCCCCCCCTATTTTTAACTCCAAAAGAATTTATTTCATCTTGCAATGATGTTTGAATCTGCTGCTACACCTTTGAAAAATAAAATTAAAAATATTCTCATACATTATCTTCTTAAAAACACATGTTTACGTAGTTTTCCATGTTAATTAAACTAAAATAAAAAATCTATAAAGTGACGTCCTTTTCTGACAACCTCCCCCCCTCCCCTTGTCTTTTTTTGTCCTTTTTAACTCGACCACCTCCCCAGTATTTGGATGACGTCCTTTATGGATGGCCCCTTAACACAATTTCTGTTCGAGATGACGATCCTTATAACAATGATGATCAATAGTTAATTCGTTAATCTGCATCATATAAGTACATTTTTAAGGAAAGAGTTAGTAGTTTATTTTTAGCAACATATTAACTTTAGTAACTTTATTAAAAACAAAGTAATATGGCAAAGTAGCATCTTTAGGAACGTACTTTTATAGACTTAAGGTAAATAATTTTATCGTTGTATTAACTTTAATAACGAACTTTATAAAGACCAAGGTAAACGATTGTAAACGATAATAATTCTGTTGTATACTTTATTAAAGTAAACAATTTTAGTAACGTAAAAACTTTAGTAACGTACTTTATTTAAGGTAAACAATTTTATCAGAGCATTAACTTTGGTAACATATATTTAAAAACTTAGGTAAAAAATATTAGCAAAGAAGTAACTTTAATAACTTTGTTAAATTTAAAATGAACAATTGTAGGAATGTAGTAACTTTACAAACTTACTTTAATAAAATTAAAGTACACAGTTTTAGCAACCTCGTAACCTTAGTAACGTACTTTATTAAACTCATGGTAAACAATTTAAACAAAGTATCGTTTTTATAGAAGAAAGCTGAAACCACTCTCATCTTTAAAAAGGCTTGAAGTCAAACCCTTCAAACTACCAACCTTTTGCACGCACTTCTGTCTCTTGCAAGGTAATGGAAAATCTTACTTTCTACGGACATATTGCTAATCACCTGACCACAAATAAACTCATCAATCCTGGTCAACACGGATTCCGAAAAGAAAAATGTTGATTCACTAACCTAATTGAAACTTGCATCATCCTTACAAAAGCTGCCCACAATTGTCACCCAACTGTCGTCATGTTTACAGACTTTGCAAAAGCAACGTTAAGACGTTATTGACTCATTGACGTTAAGTCTTTGAGCTCGCAGACACATCAAATAACTCACATCGAAAGAAAGAACTTTTTTACAACCGCGTGGTCAAACCATAGAACACTTTAAACCAAAACTCAGTGAATTCAAAAAAATATCAATACCTTTAAACATAAACTTTACTATAACATTTAATTTTACTTTGAAAGGTGTAGGCTATTTTCATTTAAAAGCTTAAGACTGTATTTTCAACACAGAGCGGCCTGGCATGCCACTCTTTATCAATAATTGATTTTGAATAAATTAAATTAATATTAAAGCCAAGGTAAATAATTTATCAATAATTGATTGTAAATAAATTAAATTAATGTTAAAGGTAAATAATTTAGAAACACTTTTTTTAACGCATTTTATTAAAGTTAAATGTTTTTAGAATTGAAATATGCTGTATACTCAATTTCTTGTGTTGATTCCAAACTACGCAGAATTCGAGACTGTAACAGCTGTAACAAAACAAAACAGCTTTAAAAAATAATTGCTAATATTTAAAATGTTTGTCTATTCTGTTTTTAAATTGATTGGTGGTACTTGCATCTATTGCATTTTGATCGAGATTGTTCCAATCATTCACCACTCTATTTGTAAAGAAGTTATATCTTTTCATGTTGCTTGTTAATTGCCTTCTTAATTTCAAATTGTGACCCCTTGTTTTTCTTTTATTATCAATAATTTCTGGTGGACGGTGAAAATTAGTTATGTCATATTCTTTAAAATATTTGAACATTTGAATTACTCTACTTCTTCTATTTCCGAGCGATAATAGATCTAGTTTTTTAAGTCTCTCTTCATAGCTATACACTTTAATAACTTTAGTAATTCTATTACTAAAGTTATTAAAGGGTAATTAATTTTAAGAACGAACTAACTTTAACATTAGCAACGTACTAACTTTAGTTTCATACTTTGCTAAAGTTTAAGTAAAAAAATTTAGCAACGTACTAACTTTAGTTTTATACTGGCAAACAATTTGAGCAACGTACTAACTTTAGTTTTGTACTTTGCTAAAGTTTAGGTAAAGAAATTTATGAACGTACAAACTTTAGTAAAGTACTTTATAAAAGTCGTAGTAAACATATTTTGAAATATAACAACTTTAACTAAAACTTCCTAAAACGCTTTTAAGAGCCTTATAACAACTTTTTTTTTGGAATGTTTGATATTTGAGCATTTTTTTAACTTCATAATAATAGCTTTATAATTTTTTGGAATATTTGATAATAGCTTTATAATTTTTTGGAATATTTGATAATAGCTTTATAATTTTTTAATAGCAATATAATTTTTAAAGAGCATTCCGCATTGGGCACATGATGCATTAATAGCAATTTATTATCTACAAAATATAACCAGTTTTAAAGACATTTTTCAAAAATTTATTTTGATACTTCTAAAAAACTTTCAATAAAATGTTTTCAGTACATATGACTGAGCTTTAATTGACTCTTTAAAGACAAAATTATTTGTAAAGCAAATTCAATTTTTTTTTGAAAAAAATGTAAAAGAATCGTCAATACTTATATACTTACTTTGTTATTTTCTTAATTTTTCTATATTTGTTCTTATTTAACCTATATATTAAAGGCGATTCTCATATAAAGTATAACAAATTAATATATAACACATGGAACTTCTTTAAATTTAGCTTCAGATCATTCAACCAAATGAAAAAAATTCGAAAAAGTACAAGTTCGACAAGATATTACCAATTGATTCATCCAATAAAGAGGTATTTTTGTTTATTAGTATCATTTAAATTTTAAACAGCAGTTTTATATAACTTTCTGAGTTATTAAGACATGTACAAGAAAAAATCTGTGCGTGTTCTGATGTGGTGTTTACGGAAATCATGCATTACTTTAATCAGCTAATTGCATTGAGATGTCATTGTATTAGTGGTATTCAACATTTAAACAACTTGTTATCAAAACAACAGATTTAAATAAAATGTCATCAAATCAAGATAAGAAGCGAGAGAAATTTTTTCATTTTCTGGTCGAAAATGCTGGTGTATCAAACAAAACAATCTCTGAAAAGTTGCAGATTGGTTTGAGAACTGTGCAGAATCAGCTAATTGCATTGAGATGTCATTGTATTAGTGGTATTCAACATTTAAACAACTTGTTATCAAAACAACAGATTTAAATAAAATGTCATCAAATCAAGATAAGAAGTGAGAGAAATTTTTTCATTTTCTGGTCGAAAATGCTGGTGTATCAAACAAAACAATCTCTGAAAAGTTGCAGATTGGTTTGAGAACTGTGCAGAACGTTGCGAAACAATTTAAGAAGACTCCCAGTGGAAATGCGTTGTCCAGAGGAGGAACGTCGGACTTCTCACGGACGTCCAAACGTCCAACGGACGCTCTCCGGACGAAGCTTGCCCACTAACTGGTATAATCAAAGCAAATCTGAAAGTTTTTGTTCAACAAGATCTTGCTAAGATGATAGATGCTTTAGACAGAAATCCGGAGAATCAAACTTTAGCAAATAAATTTTAGTCAAGTTCTTCCACTATACAAAGATTGTAGAGAAATTGTGGCAATAAATCTGGCAATAGGCCAGATTTATTGACAATAAATGAGCCATTAAAAAAAAGAAAAAAGAAAAAAGTTTCTTATCGTAATCGTATCGTATCGAAAAGCAAAAAAATGATAACCTTACCAAAAACCGTACCGAAAACCGTATCGAAAAGCAAAAAAAATGTTGTTTTCAATGCTGCTCTATAAAAAATTATTTTCTAAAAAATCTTGTTTGATTATTGAAGATAAAACATATTGTGCTGCATTTTTCTAATCTCTTCCAAGACACCAACTTTATTCAGCATGTAATCTCAAGAAACTGATTTTCAAATATATATATAGGTTGAAATTACTAAAAAATTTCTTAGTACGAAGAAATAAATTGCTTGACAAACTATAGTTTGACAAGCAATTTATGAATAAGATGAAAGAAGCTCTTGTTTTGTAACTACGGGAACATTTAACACCAAAACATTGAAGAATGTTTCGGTGTTGAATGTTCCCGTAAAAAAAAGCATCTTATGCCATTTTTAAGATATCATAGGGAAAATACCTATATAGCATCATGTCACTACTCTGGAACAACTTAAAATGGCTTAGAGAATTTAAAGTAGATTTCGTTGAATAACACTGCAATCCACCAAATTGTCCTGAATCACATTCTATCATAAGATAATGGACAATCAAAGGAAAACTAAGATTCAACGTAAAGAAGCTTAAAACATCAACAACAGACTTCAAAAATAAATAGATTAGAGCTACCAGTCGAAGATTGTGCAAAAGCTGATATCGAGTGGAAAACGCAAAACGCATCCGTTCTTGCGTACACAATTTCATAAACTTACTAAAATGAAATTTAAGAATAATAATATTAATATGTACACGCATATTTTATTTGATACAGTTCAGAATAAAATTTAATTAGGTTTAACACTATAATAAATAGACATCGCAATCACAAATTAAATACTTTTTTAAATTAAAGGCTATAATAAAAAGTTAACAATTAGAAGCTACTGTAAAAAATAAATTATTACATGCTTCACTAAGAAATTATTTATCAGACGCCACAATAAGAAGCTAAATATTCTAGATTAGTGTTTAAGAGTTGTTTTTTCTAAAAATGAGGCTAAATCAGCAACTTGAAATAGTTGAGCTAGCTGATTTTCTTCAAAATTACAAGGATATCTTCATTTCATAAGAAAAACCTGAAAATTTGAGACCATAATTCAAAGCGATTCAAAAGCTGCTGCAATTTAAAGTTTCATAAAACGTTGAATCATTTTTTAAAGTTTTCCATGTTTCGGTGTAACATTTTTATGCAGTGCACATGTTTATATGCCTACCAGTAATCACGTCTTGCTTACGTTATACTCTCGAGTTCCTAATAAACGTCCCCCCCACCCCCCTCGTTTATTAATTTTTGGATATTTTTCCCCTAAGCTTATCAAGACCCCCCCGTTTATTAATTTTTACTTATTATCAATAAAAAAACTATATATTATCTCAAAAGTAAAATAATTTTCAGTCACCGATAAAAACAAAAACTTTCAGTGTAAACAGGTTTTACAAACTGTCGACCTATTAAATCTTGATTTGCTAAAAATGAACTTTTAGTTTATTTCTCAACAAAACTTTGGTTTTAATTATAGGATTTAATATGCTGAATATAAGTTTTATACTTTGCAAAGTATAAAACTTATATCAGTATATTAAATCCTATTCAATTATGATAAAACCTAACCCTACCCTAACAGCTGTTAGAAAATGCGCTTTTGACCGCAAGTCAAACGCGCATTTGACTTGAACATGCATAGTTTGCATGCCGAATAAACGAGGGGGGGAGGGGCATTAAACATACCCCCCGTTTATTATTTTTCAAAATAAATCCCCCCCCCCTATTTATTAAAATCCCCCCGTTTATTATATTTTGACTAAAATTCCCACTCACCTATTTATTCCCACCCCCGTTGTATTCGGCACTCGAGAGTACCTATTTAAACAACTTTCAACCTATTTTGTACTAGTAACTCATACTAATAAGACATGCTACTACAGAATGCGTACACTACATCAACTATTTATATTATATGTTTAGCTATAAGAACTTAAAACAGTTCACAACTCTCACTGACCTTCGTTATACTCCGACAAACTACTGCATTTACTGACACTCAATGTCAAAAAATTAATTACAATTGTATAGAAGTTGTACTGAATCCCTTTAAGTGTCCTCTTAGTGTCAATACAGAAGTCTGTGGCAATTGTCCTGATGGGATACCCTGAAAATAGTCCTTTTGGGATAACACAAAAAGGTACTCTAACAAAAAGATGCCCTGGTGTACACACAGAATGGAACTTTTTATGGGATACCAGTCTCGGATGAAAGCTGGAGGTCTTCTTGTGTTGATACTGATGTCCATGAAACACATATACCTATAATGTATGTTTGTTACCCTAATAATACTGAAAACACGGTAGCTACTTATAAAACGAATAGTTCTTCTCCATCACTGATACTGTCTATACATCACATTTACACTCGATACTAACAACATTTTCGTGGCACAACAACTAATGACTCTCACTTTCCTCGATTATTGTTTATTGTTCCTGTTTATATCTACTACTTTTTACTTGGACCAATTTTTCGTATTTTTCTACTTAGAGGTTCTTTGTTTTCCACTGGACATCTGTCCTTTTGTACTTTTATCTCACTCTGCCACACTTTTTTTTTTACTTATTATGCATATCTAAGGCGTTCAATGCTCGGTGCAACTTTACTAAGATGCATTGAATTTACAAAAAATTGAGTTTTTAAAACATCTTCAACATACTTTTTCTCGTTACCCAAAACTACTTCAGGGGCGTTCAATTACGCAAATTCTGTACTTTTGAGCACCAGGTCTCTGGTTAATGAAGGTTTATAATAAGTTTTTAAGAAAGAAAAAACTGTTTGTTTTTTTTACTGCAAATACAGTCGAACATATTTTAAAAATCAATATCAGCCTAAAAAACCTCACTTGCTTTAAAAGCGATAAAATTTATGCTAACTTTGAGAAGCAAAAGATCAATGTGCTAACAAGCTATTAACTTATAGTTTTTTGAAAATTATTTATGCACCTATATACTTTCAATATATTAAGTTTTCAATATATTAAGCTTTCAATAAATTGAGTTTTCAATAAATTGACTTCAATTGGTTTTTTGGCCTAAATGAAGATATCTTCAATTTAAAAAAATTTTTAACAGTAAAAAAAACAACTTCAAAACACTATGAAATCTACAAATGAATCTATCATTAAAATTTTTAATTCATTCTCTACAGCATTTCTTTATCACTTCCACGTCATCTATGCTGAAAACAAAATGCTACATAAGTCCTTGCTCAGGAATATTTAATCTTGTGGATGTTAACTGTCTTCAATAAATTCTTGTTTAGGATATGGTGAATAAAAGGTTTTATCCGATATAACTATGAGAATAATAAGCAGATTATCAACGCGAGACCAATTTTCGTACAAAATTAGGATTCGCTTGAGATTCACATTTTTCTTGAGGACATATAAGACCTCTTACAAAACCATCTCTTATTTTAAAGCTAAAATGTTGTTTTAAACATTCCCTACAATAAATATGTTTACACTTTGAGAAAGATACACATTTTGAACCAGGTTTTTCTGAGAATGTAAAAAAGCGCAGCAGAAATTTAATAACGCCTTTTTTGAATACGCATAATGCGTATTCAAAAAAGGCGTTATTAAATTTCTGCTGCGCTTCTTTAGAATTATATTCTATTAAATAAGTATATCTTTCCTTATTTTAAGACTATAACAATCAAACTATTGACAAGGAAAAGTCTTGCATGTGACTGCCTCATTTGCAGCATTGGATGACTCCAACTGAATTAGCCTCATCCATTGTAAGCTGCCAGCCAACCCAGCACTTCCACATGTCCATCCACACCAACTGTATCTGCCGTGAAACAGTGTGTAAAATGCCTCATAGTTCTTCATTGTGGATACCCACACAACTGTAGGCCTGGAACCAGATATGCAAATTTGCAAAAACATTTTTTAGTCTGATGCTCTTGGAGCTCAACAAATTGCTTTTTCAGTAATCAAAAACACACCGTCCTCCCCGGTGGAAACATCCAACTCAGTCAAGACCAAAAAGGAAAATGTCTGCCTGTACAACAAGGTAAAAAT